CACACGCCTGGGAGTTCTGGTAGACAGTGAGACAGAAGGCACCGGGCATTGTTGTTAAACATGGCAAACTCTTTATTTTCATATCAACGTTAAAAGACAGACACAGAACACAAACTGAAAGCCTACTGACCTGTCTTCAGAGCAGGTGCAGGAACACACAGAACGAATTTAGCTGCAAACCCACACCTGGAAAGTGATGCTGGAGACAGCACTGAGGGGCCCTGAGGGGAGCCCCAGTTTGGTCAGAAGGCCAGAGCCAGGGTCTGGATGTTGCCTCTGAGAAGTGTTGAGGCACAGGCCACGGAGAGGTTTTCTTTAGGGAAAATAATCAATGAGCTGAATTTGCTTCGAAATACAAGTGTGAGCAGGGGCTGAAGCTCAGTGGGACAGTGCATGCACAGCACGCATGGGCCCTGGGTTCCTTGAAGTCCTCACCCCAGACAAGCATATCGCCTGAGGAGACTTGACATTCATCCAATGTCCTTGGGAGGAAGTCCCCGGCTATTCTTGGGGCAGTCACTGGCAGTAAAATCCTAACCCTGAGCCAGCCCAAGAGAGGCCACTGAGGATGACAGTGGAACCCCATTCTGCTGCTGAAGCTCCAGGCCAGGGCAGCCACACTTTGACATGTCAACAATAGTATTTCCTAAAAAAACAACAATAGTATTTCCTGAGAAAGGGGCTCTTCTCAGTTGTAGCTTTTGGAGATACCTTGAAAGATAAAAAAATAAAGGGTATCCTCACACAGAAAGTTCCATTAAAAGGCACAGCCAGAACTTCAAGCTACAGGAGCCAGGTGTGGTGGTGCACATCTCTAATCCCAGCAGTCACAAGGCTGAGGCAGGAAGATCACTGAGTTTGAGGTCAGGCTGGGTACACAGTGCATTTAAGACCAGCCTGAACTACACAGTGAACTACATATCCTCTCTTTAAAAAAGTGGGGCAAGGGATAAAGGGAACTGGAACTTGGGAAATCTACCTTAACCCATTGCTAGTAAGAAACATTCTGGAAAGAGCTGAGGAGTCACCAGATCAGAATGGTTTCAGAGCAGACTCATGCCTGATAACAATTATTTAAGAGGGGGCCTGCCCCTTAGCTCAGTCCTTTAAGTGGCTGCTTCAACAAAGCCGTCAGGCTCAGGTTGCTGTGGTTCGATCCCCACAACTCAAGCCAGCCAAACCTGCCCTGAAGGCATTCGGAGCCCCCCCCCCAAAAAAAAATCCTTCTGCCTTTTAAGGAAAAAAAAAACCCAACACAATGATGTAAAGAACTCACAGTTAGCCTCACTGCTTCCAAGGACACTGACCCGCCCACACCAGAGGCGTCAGGCTGTACCTAGGGGTTCCGCACAGTAGGCAAAGGCAAAGCAAACAGAGTCTGTGCTCTCCCTCTGCTGGAGAGAAGTGCAGCGCCTCCCCTTGGACAGTCAAGGACCAGAATAAGAGTGGGCGGGGCCTACGTCACACACAGGTCTGCAACCACCGGTAGCTCCTACTTGAGAATAACCAGTGAGGCTAACTGTGAGTTCTTTAAATAATTGTGTTGTTGTTTTTTTTTTTTTCCTTGAGTATTACCAGTGATACTCAGAAGAGTGGAAAGAGTGAGTCAGCAGGTACTGGAAACATCAGTTTCAAAAGGGGAAACCTTTACCTGGGATTAAGAACACGCTCAGTAATAGGTGCTCAGAGAGAGGGATTCATTCTAGTTAGGGACTTTACCAAAATGGGAGATGAAACCTGTTCTCACCTCCACAGCAGCCTTGTTCTTTTAAGCTTTCTCTTTGTTTTTTGTCTTTTTTTTTTAGCAGAACTGGGGATTGAACTAAGGCCCTTCCGCTGGCCAGGGAAGCACTTATTCCACTGAGCCATCTCCCCAGCCCCCTCTGTTTTTCTTTCTCTCTCTCTCTCTTTTTTTTTTTTTTTTTTTTTGGAACTGGGGATTGAACTCAGGCCCTTGTACTTCCCAGGGAAGCGCTTACTCCACTGAGCCATCTCCCTGGCCAGGTTTGTTTTTGGGTTTTTTTCCCCTCCAGCCCTCTTTTTTTAAGACAGCATCTCACCCTAGTTTAGGCTAACCACATGCAACCTCAGCTTTCTAGTCCCTTGCTCCTAATCTCTATTATGGGAGATGCAAGTAGCTGTGACATCTTTTCCTAGGAGCAGGGAAGAATAATCTTTCACATACTAGCTTAGGTAAAACCAACCCTAAGATCCTGGGCAAGCTAGAAAAAAATGAGCCCTGCCCATCGGTCAAACAACTGGTCCCTGCCCTTCGTTATCATAATATAGTGATTCTTAGCATGCACAGCATTAGTTAAGGTTCTGACTCACCAGCCATCACTGGCCGGTGTCCTAGCACCACAGGCCTGGAACATGACCACCACTGTCCCAAAGCATGAGTGGCACACGCTGCACACTTCTGTGTGCACAAGGCGGTTTCTAGGGCATGAGCCTCCGAGCTCAGACACAGCGCACACCCTCCCCAAGGTTCTCCAGTGCACTCTTGTGTCTGGTGGAAGACAGGGTCTTCTGGGTCAGCACTGCATCAAGCCTGGAAGGCTGGGCCCCTTGGGATGTAGCAGTCAGTCCAACGAGGTGCTCAGGTGGGTGTCAGTTCACCCAGAAAGCACTCGGTGAGCTCTCAAATCCTAATGACTGTTGAAAGGACTCCCTTGGGTCCAGCAAAATACAAACAAGAAAGAAAGATTTCCAGCAAAGATTCACGAAGGCTTTTAACCTGAGAAAGCAACCATACAGATGGAACAGAAGCAGTTACCGTCCTCACAGATACGGCAGATACACTTGTCTCATGACCATCCTGGCCCAAGGGGACCAGAAGTTCTTGTCTGGAGGCACCAGGCAGGGATCTTGCTCAGGGCTGCCTGCTGCTAGCAAACACCACCACTAGGGTCAGCCAGCAGCATGCCTGGAAGGTCACTCCCACTTATAGATGTGGACCACCTTCTCTGTTAAGGTGGCCAGGTAGCTGTTATGGTTCACATCAAATGGGCAGATGTCCAGGACAGGATGATCTCGCTGCAGGTCTTGTAAAAGCGAGCCACTGCCGGCGTCCCACAGCTAAAGGAAACAAGCAGGGGGAAAAGAACCGTCAGCAGACAGTCCAGCTGGGGGCTCGCTTTGTCACCAAGCAACTGAGAAAGGAGGAAAGAATGAACCTTGCGTTCACAAGGCTACCCCATGCTGCCCACATGCCTCACATACTGGTATGGCCTTGCCCACCGCAATCGGTAACCAGTCTGCCTGTAAACACACTCATTCCTTCAGTCTGCCACACAATCTTGAATGTCTTAAGAACAGAGGGCCAATAAGACAAAGTTCCTGTCCCAATTGTTTTTCAGCCTTTGCCTAAGAGATGCTATTTTTCCTCGTTGGTTAGGTCCACTATCCAAGGACGATATATCAAAAGGACATCTTTTAAGAATTATTTATTTATTTATGTGTGTGTGTGTGTGTGTGTGTGTGCGCGCGTGCGTGCGCACGGCCAGCTCAGCCCACCAGGGGGCGGGGCTGGCTGGTATGTGGTGCTGGGAATTGAACCGCGGTCCCTGTGCTTTGCTAAGCTTGTTCTAAGTAGGTGCTTTAGACCACTGAGCCATCTCACCAGCCCACATTTTTTTTTTTTTTTTTTTTAGAGAGAGAGGTCTTGTTTTGTAGTTTAGTCTGGCCTTGAACTATGTAGCCCAGGTTGGCCTAAAATGCATGGTGATTCTCCTGCCTCAGCATCCTGAGTGCTGATTAAAGGGATTTTGAAGGGGCTAGTGAGATGGCTCAGTGGTCTAAAGCACCTACTTAGAACAAGCTAAGCTAAGCAAAGCACAGGGACCGCGGTTCAATCCCCAGCACCACATGCCAGCCAGCCCCGCCCCCTGGTGGCCTGAGCTGGCCACACACAGACACAAAATAAATAAATAAATAAATAAATATTTTTAAGAAAAAGAAAATGTATCTTTAAAACTAACTAAATAAATAAATGGATTTTGAAGCTGAGAAATAGAATAGAAGCTTGCTCCATCCGCTCCACATATCAACCTGGTATTGCAAGAAGCTGAGGCAAGAGGATCACTGTAAATTCAAGGCCAGCACCTCCAGGAAAAGTGCCCCCACCAGGGGACATAAAGCTGGCATTCAACTCCAAAAATAAATTTTGTCCCAATCCCCATGGAATCTACACTTTAAATGTTTTCCTTTCCTTTCTAAAAATTTAAAAAGCAAAAACAAACTCACTATAAAGAATGTTTTATATTGACACATGCCTATAATCCTAGCACCTAGGAGGCTGAGACAGGAGGATTCAATTTACAGACCAGCCTGGGATAGCGAGTTTAAGGTCAGCCTGAAATATAGAGTGAGACCCAACCCTGTTGCAAAAAAACCCTTAAAAAGTAGAAACAAACAAAAAACCCAAAGTGAGGCTGGGGAGATACCTCAGTAGAATAAGTGCTTGCCTGGCAAGCACAAGGGCCTCAGTTCAATCACCAGTTCTGAAAAGAAGAAAAACAAAAACACCCAAAGCTAAACTACAAAGCACAGAAAAAGAAAATCACATGATGACTGCTTATTAATTAAAAGTTAGGGCCGGGGAGATAGCTCAGTAGAATCAGTGCTTTCCTGGCAAGTACAAGGTCCTGAGTTCAATCCCCAGTACTGGGGAAAAAAAAAAAAAAAAAAAAAGATTATAGCTGGGGCCAGGGAGGTGGCTCAGTGGAATAAGCACTTCCCTGGCAAGCGCAAGGGCCTGAGTTCAATCCCCGGTTCCGCAATAAATAA